CATCACAGAATGGAGAGAACACTGTGGGTGGGGACCATTGTGCTGGACAAGCATTACAGAAATGATCACAGTATGAGGTAATGGTCCCCAAAGCTACAGATCGTGTGCGCTCAGAACTCAATTTTGACTCATGAGGACCTGCTCAGAACTCAGTACTGGGGAGCATCTATCCCGCCCCCATCGGCTCAGCTCAGAGCCTGTAAATTAACAAGTTAGGAAGGTGAACATCTAACCATTCACTGGCTGTTCAGCCACTGACCCTGAAACTTCAGTGTCAGAAGACTGAGCGTGAGCCGGCGCTGCGGCTCACTAGGCTAATCCTCCACCTTGTGGCGCCAGCACACCGGGTTCTAGTCCAGGTCAGGGCGCCGGATTCTGTCCCAGTTGCCCCTCTTCCAGGCCAGCTCTCTGCTGTGGCCAGGGAGTGCAGTGGAGGATGGCCCAAGTCCTTGGGCCCTGCACCCCATGGGAGACCAGGATAAGTACCTGGCTCCTGCCATCCGATCAACGCAGTGCGCCGGCCGCAGCGCACTGGCCGCGGCAGCCATTGGAGGGTGAACCAATGGCAAAGGAAGACCTTTCTCTCTGTCTCTCTCTCTCACTGTCCACTCTGCCTGTCCAAAAAGAAAAAAAAAAAAAAAAAAGAAGAAGACTGAGATCCACAAGCACATCCTCTTCTAATAAGCCAGGCACAGATGCTGAGTGGCTTGCCAGCAACAAGAGGCTCTGAGGTAGACTAGAACTTAAACTCATTTGCTGGTGTCCAGCTGATTTCTTTCCAGTATTTTGTCATCAGTTCTGGAATTTAGAACGGGTCCTTCCCTGTGGTGGAATGAAAAGGCCATGCCAAGATGGCCACTGGCAAGCAAGCCTAAGTTACTCAGGAATGGCTTTGAAACCTACCTGACAATGAAGCCTGCCTGGCAACAGGCTGTGATTGGTTAGGGCATAACCCCTTGACTGGATTGGCTGTCTTGGCTATATAAGCTGTTGTACCAACTGAAATAAACGAGTCTGCGGGCTGCTTGCCTCTGGCCAGCTTTCACCCGATTCCCGGGGTCTGTGTGGTGACTCCTCACCTCTTGCACCCACCATGCTCCTCCTCTCAGAACGAATCCACAGCAACACTTCCCTAAACTCTTTCTCTTTCCGAGTTGCTTTTCCCTGTTGTTTCCCAGTTGTCTGCCTGTCCTTGGGTGTGATGCCTGGGTGTTGTGTAGGAGTCCTCAGGAGACAGACCCCGGGGCAGAGACTGGCTCCAAAGGAGGTTTCTTGGGGAGTGCGCCAAGAAAGAGTGTTCTACGTGATTGAGGCAGGATTGGGCAGGATTGGGCAGAAGGAAATTGAATTGTGATGCAGTTGCCACAGAGGTCTCAGCCAGTCCACACAGTGCCCTGGAGCTGAGCTGGTCCTTCACAGCCCTCCTGGATAAAGCCACGGGGCTGGCCCTTTCTGCTTCCATGCTGGGGGCAGGGGCCCAACTATGGGCAAGGCAGTGCCCATCAGCTATGTGCAGAAGTCAAGGCACTGGCAAGGCTCTGGGGGGAACTAGTTTCTGCCCCATTTCTTGGCTGATGGCTCCCTTTTTCCATGTCAAATGCTACCAGTCTCGTATCTTTTTGGTTCTTCTGTCCACACTCCTTCTTCCAGGCTCAGTACAAAAACAGCCTCTTATAAGGACTGTGTGATTAGATCTGCCCGTTAACCTTAGTCACACATGCATAGTGCTCTTTGTCATGCAAGGCAACATAGTCACAGATCCCAGGGATTAGGACATCTTAGGGTGGGACCGTCATGACGCCTATCACCACCTGTAATAAACAATTTTCATACGAATATTTTATATGTTCGTAGCAATACTCTAATATAGAATGATATTAATGTTTATATTTATAAATATTTATAATGTAGCTCTTATATTATTATGGCCACAAAGTGGAAACAAATCAAATATCCCAGAACTAAAGAGCAGATAAATAAAACATAGCACATCCATACAATGAAACATTGCTTAGCCAAAAAAGGGAATGAAGTTCTGATTTGTGCTTTAGCACGGAAGCAATGAAAACATGAGGCTGGGGCCGGCACTGTAACTTAGTGGGCTAAGCCTCCATCTGCAGTGCCACCATCCTGTATGAGCACCAGTTCGAGTCCCAGCTGCCCTATTTCCAAACCAGCTCTCTGCTATGGCCTGGGAAAGCAGTGGAAGATGGCTCAAGTCCTTGGGCTCCTGCACCCTCATGGGAGACCCAGAAGAAGCTCCTGGCTCATGGCTTCAGACTGGCACAACTCTGACCTTTATGGCCAACTGAGGAGTGAGCCAATGGATGGGAGACCCCTCTCTCTCTCTCTCTGCCTCTCCTTCTCTCTCTGTGTAACTCTGACTTTCAAATAAATAAATAAATCTTTCAAAAAAAAAAAAAAACACATGATTCTGAGTGAAAGAAGCCCAGGACAACTGATCACATATGTGTGATTCCACCTACATGAGATGTCCAGAATAGCAAACCTAGGACACATAAAGTAGACGAGCAGGGTGAAACAGAGGCTGCTAAGGGGTGTGGGGTTTCTTTTAGGGAAGAGACAAAAATGTTCAAAATTAGATTATGATGATGAATACACAACTATGTGAATATATTAAAATCACTGAATTGTGTACTTTAAAAGATGAATTTTAAGGCATGTGAATTATATTTTAATAAAGCAGTTAAAATACCCATTGGGATGAACATGTCACAAATCAGAGTACCTGGGTTCACTACTTGGCTCTGGCTCCTGACTCCAGCTTCCTGCTAATGTAGACCCTAGGAGGCAGTGGTGATGGCTCAAGTCATCCAATTCCTGCTACTCACATGGGAGATCTGGATTGAGTTCTTGGCTTCCATCTTTGGCCTGGCACAGTGCTAACTATTGTGGGCATCTCGGGAGTGAACCAGCACAGCAGATGGGAGCTTTCTTTCTGCCTTGCAAATCAACACAAAATAAGAATTAAAATGAACAAATTCCACTGACTTCTGTTCACCCACAAGGCCAGATTGGATGGAGTTCCAGGCTCCTGGCTTCAGCTTGGCTCAGCCTCTGCTGTTGCAGCCATTTGGGGAGTGAATCAGTGGATAGAAGTTTCTCTGTCACTCTGCCTTTCAAATAAATAAATAAATGATGCATTTATTTATTTGAAAGGCAGAGTGACAGAGTGGCAAAGGCAGGGAGAGACAAAGCTCTTCCATCTGCTGGTCCACTTCCCAAATGGCAGAGGTAGAGAGAGAAAGAAAGATTTCCATCCCTGGTTCAATCCCCAGATGACTGCAGCGGCCAGCGCTGGGCTGATCCGGAGCCAGGAGCCAGGAGCTTCTTCCAGGTCTCCCACACGGGTGCAGGGGCCCAAGCACTTGAGCCATCTTCTACTGCTTTCCCAGGCCATTGCAGAGAGCTGGATCAGAAGTGGAGCAGCCGGCACCCACATGGGATGCCATCCCTGCAGGTGGTGGCTTTACCACTACACCACAGCACCTGCCCCAATAAATATATCTTTCGAAAAATTGCTGTGCTTGCCAGACTCTTGTCTCCCTGGGGAACCACCTCTGATACCATCTTTACCAGGTGCTCATTCCATCCCTTTGGCTGTCAGACTTTTGGAAGCACCTTTCCAATGTGCTGATCCTTTTAAAATGGCCAAAACTACTCCGGAGTCATTTGCACAGAAGGAAAAGTGACTCTTTTTTATGCTTACTCTGCTAAAGCAATCTCAGTACAGTACTCTCAATGTTTTATAGAATTTGTAATGAACTTGGTGCCTTTCTTGGTCCTCCAGTCTTCCTTCCATGGGCCTCAGATATGAGTCCAGTGGCAGCAGGGGAGGGAGACAGAATGACCCCTCTACTACAACTGAGTCCTACCCCCCCAAGTCACTGCAGGGGTCCCGCTCCCCTAAAGCAAGATTGTTTCCCAAGGTTCATAACCCTAGTTAGGAGGCATGCCAGCGTGGGTGTCTATTTTTCTGATCACATTCACCTGTGAATTTGGATGTAATCAAAGGTTGCAGTGTGGGGCTGGTGCTGTGGCATCACGGGTAAAGCCGCAGCCTGCAGTGCCTGCATCCCATATAGGGGCCAGTTCAAGTCCTGGCCACTCCACTTCTGATCCAGTTGTCTGCTATGGCCTGGGAAAGCAATGGAAGATGGTCCAAGTCCTTGGGCTCCTGCACCCGCATGGGCGACCCAGAAGAAGCTCCTGGCTGCTGGCTTTAGATCAGCCTAGCTCTGGCCGTTGTGACTATCTGGGGAGTGAACCAGTTGAACAAAAGATCTTTCTCTTTCTCTCTGCCTCTACCTCTCTGTAACTCTTGCCTTTCAAATAAAATAAATAATCTTTTTAAAAAATGTTGAATGTACTGTCATACAATCAAGTCAATAAAGACATCTCTTAAAAAAAAAAAAAAGGTTGCAGTGTTTAATGGAGTAGGAGGAAGACAGGAAACACCAAGCAAGTGAGGGAGTGAGAAGGTGGTAGCACAGTGGATTGCAGGTGGATTTGCACTGCTGCAGTCGGTGTCCCAGAGGGTGGAGGGTGAGGCGGAGAGGGAGAGGTGGGGCTGGGTCAGAATAGGATGAATGAAACACAGTGACAGAACAAAACTGCCATCACCGGCAATAGCAAGGTTACAGTAATGTTTAGCAAACGTTGGCTATTATTAAGGAAAATAACCTTTCCCAGTAGAAATTAGCATTTTCCTCAATCCCGAGTACCTCCTACAGCATATCGTAAACATCCACTATGGGCGCTTCACTGCACTGACAGCCAAGAGCAAGCTCAAGGGCGGGACCAAAGGCAAAGTCCTTGCACAGACGCAGCTGAGCAGCATTCAACTGCACACACGATGCTCCTGACCCAAGAACGCCCCATCCACCTTCAGGAAAGGACGCCGACACAAAATGCCCCTGCCCTGCCGCAGCCCATGTGTCGCCTAACGGTGACGCCAGGGAGTCCGGGCAGAATTCTACACACGGAATCCTGACGGCGGGAGAGGCGGCCGCCACCCAGGACCAAACGGCTGGACGTTGCCCTTCGGGGCAGGCCCGGCCCAGCCCCGCCGCCCGCCTGCCCGCCCGCGCCGCTGTTTTTAAAATGGAAACACACCCGGTCCCGCCTCCAGCCGTGAGGACGCCGGGTAAAGGGCGCTGCCCTCCGGAGGGGCCCTAGCTTGGCCTTTTCGAAAGTTCCTGTACACAGGGCCTTCTCTTCTGGGTTCTTCCCTGCCTACTCTCTCTCCCGACCTAAGCCCAGCAACAAAAGCTCACACTCGCCTTTATCCCCCCGGGCTCGCTCCACCTGTCCGCCACGGCCCCACCTTCGCCCCGCCCCCGGAAGTGACGACACCACGCGGCCCTGCCGTTGTCCCGTCGGGCCTCGCGGCGGCGGCGGCGGGAAGATGGCGGCGGCGGGAGCGCTGGAACGCAGCTTCTTGGAGCTGAGCGGAGCCGAGCGGGAGAGGCCGAGGCACTTTCGGGAATTCACAGTCAGCTGCGTTGGTACAGAAGTGGCCGGGGAGGGTGCGGTCCGATCGTTCTCCGCGGTGTCTCCCCTTGGGTCCCTGGGTCTCTGACCCTCCTGTTCATCCTCAGTCCACATGCCCGTGGTCTCTGGATCGGAGAGCTTCCTTGATATCCGACTTCTTCCTTCCTCCCCTTTCTCTTTGTACGGATTGTCAATCGGCCGCCCTCTGCCCGGCGCCCGCTGCCCCTGTCATCCCTAGGGAACCACGTGTGTAGGATGACCGCGTTCATTTTGCAGGGACTGCAAATGTTGTGGCTGGGGCCGCGAAGTACAATGAGAGCGCGGGAGGCTTCTACTATGTGGAAAGCGGCAAACTGTTATCCATCACCAGGAACAGGTTCATTCATTGGTAAGTGCTGCGTTCACCCACCCCTCCCCCTGGAAGTTAGGGTTTTGTGTGGCGGCACCCACCTGTCAGTTCTTGTCGGAATCGGGAAGTTTCTGAGACAGGGAGTTTTCTGTACGATGTACACACACAGGCCCCCAGGTGTCAGTAGAAACAGCGGGAATGTGACTTAGGGAATAAAGCCCAGAAGACCCGTTCCAAACAGGAGCCGATTGTCTTACAGTGCTTTCGTGCCTCCTTCATCCCACCGATAGGTTGGAGGTTCCACATCAGGCGTTGTGCTAGGGGCTGGGCTGAAATGATGAGCAAAAACAATCCCTGCTTTCATCGGCCGGCCGCTGTAACAATGCAGGAATAATGTGGCTCCACCTTTCATGGCACAGTTTTATGAGGGAAAAAGATGTGAAACATAGATGTATGAATACAGACTCTACCTGCCCCAGAGGCATGTGTAGGGGCTGTGAGAGGCTAATGGGGAAACCATCAAGGAAGCCGCAGTTAACCTGAGACCTGAACGACCAAAGGTTAGCCAGGCAAGGAAGGTGTTGGGGGAAAGCAGTCCAGCCTGTAGGGTCCCTGCGTGCAGAGGCCGCGAAGGGGAAGGACGAGCTCGGCAGGTTTGGGGAACTGATTGAAAGTCTGCGGCAGAAGCACAGTGGGCAGAACAGAGTGATGTGAAGGATGCTGAGGCTGGAGCGGTAAGGCAGGGCTCGGACCACAGGGGACCCCCATACACCCAGGTGGTTTTTTTTTTGTTTTAAGATTTATTTATTTGAGGGGCAGAATAATTACAGACAGAGACATCTTCTATCCACTGGTTCTCTCCCCAAATGGCCACAATGGCCAGAGCCAGGGGCCAGGAGCTTCTTCCAGGTCTCCCACGTGGGTGCAGGGGCCCAAGCACCTGGGCCACCTTCAACCGCTTTCCCAGGCCATCAGCAGGGAACTAGATAGGAAGTGGAGCAGCCAGGACTTGAACCCACATTCATATGGGATGCTGCCATGGCAGGTGGATGCTGCCACAGCGCCAGCCCTGACCCTGTTTTTCAGGGTGCTGGATTTTATCTCAAGTACATTGGACTATCATTGAAGAGTTTTAAAGAGTTAATTAAAACCATCAAGACCAGTCTACTTTGTGGAAAGCACATTTGGGTTGGCTGGATATAAGGTGAAAAATCAGTTTACTTTTATGATGACCAAAATGTGGGAGTGGCTAGGAAAAAGGAAATAGGTGGTTTGAAAATATATTTAGAAAGTAGATTGAGTAGGACTTGGTGGTAGACTGAATGTGGGCAGGAAGCGGTAAGGGGAAGGAGAGAGCAAGGATGGTGTCCTGGTTTTGGCTGTGACTAGTCTGGTATGGGGTGGGAGGGTGCCAGTGACTGAGATATAAATGGAAAGGTGTGAGTGATTCTTCTGAACATACTAGATTTGAAGTGCTAGTGCAGCAGCCTTCTGAGGGTGTCAAGAAAGCATTGGCAAGGTATATGTCTGAGTCTCAGAAGAGAGACTTAAGTTAGAGAAATCTCCTTTACTTAAGAAATATTTTCCATGCCTAATATGTTTCAGTTAATGTTTAGGGATTAGGGATATAGCAGGGAACAAAACAAAGTCCTTGCTCTCAAAAAGCAAGCAATAAGCAATAATAATAATAATATTGCAATAAGCAATAATAATCCAAAAAGGCCAAGTAAATATAGTTTGTCAAGTGATAAATGGAATAGAGAACAGGGAAGCAAAGTAGGAGGGAAAGAGTTACATTTTGTACAGGGAGGTCAGGCAAGACCCAGTGACAAGCTGACATTTGAGCAAAGGCAGCGAGGACATCTGGGACTGAGCATTTCAAATAGAGCCTTCCAAGAAAAAAAAAGTCTGAAGAACCCTGAGTCGGAAGCTTGTTTGTTGTTTCAAAGAATAACAAAGGGCTAGGAGTCTACAGCTGAGTGAACGAAGAGAATAATAAGAGCTGAGGGCTAGATCACGACTGTGTCAGTTGTTTTAAGGTTTTGGATTCTGTGCTGAGGTGTGACAAAGCCACTGAAGTGTTTAAAGCAGAGGAATGACATGATCTAAGTTGTAGTTTATTTATTTATTTTTATTTGAAAGGCAGAGTGACAAAGGGAAAGAAAGAGATCTTCTATCCCCTAGTTCACTCCCCAAATGCATGCAAAAGCCAAGGCTGGGACGGGCAGATACAGGAGCATGGAACTCAGTCTAGGGTGGCAGGGACTCAGTATTGTCATCATTCCCTACATACCAGGGTGCACATTAGCAGGAACCTAGATTGGAAACGAGCAGCCAGGACTCAATCCCTGGCACTCCAGTGTGGGATGTGGGTGGGCATCCTGAGCAGTGCTTATCCCACTGTGCCACGTGCCTGCTCCTGAGATGTATTTTTAGAGGATTGTTGTGGCTGTTATATTATGAATAAAATGAGGGAAAAGATGAGAACAGCAAGATCAATTAATAGAATAGTGCCACAGTCCAGACAAGAGATGATGATGGCTTAGATTAGGGTAGTAGTGATAGAGGCAGTGAGGATGCCCCGATGGTGGGTTTGTTTTTAAGGTAATTTTCTGGTGCATCAGTCTGATACAGCAGACTTCTGCCTGGAGCGACTGGAAGTTACAGAGATGCCATCAATTAAGTTGGGAGAAAGTGTAGGTGAAACCAGTGCCTCGGGATGTGTGCGGTGTTTTTGGTTTGGTGGATACTAGAAGTATGTTTTGGGCAGGTATGGTTGGCAGTGCCTTGCATAAGTAGAAGTGTTGAGCAGTAGTCAGGAGTTCAGTGCAGAGGCTGGGCTAGTGATGGAGGTTTGAGAACTGTTGCCATCACATGGCACTAAAAACCGACACACGTGCTCTTTGCAGCACATATGCTAAAAACTGCTACAGTTGCTTATTTTGCTGCCCATCCGCCTCCATCGTGGGTAGTGTATGTGCTCCCGGGAAGGACCTCTCCAGCGGTACAGTGTCCCCACCTGGCTGAGGTCAGCATCTGACAGCATGAAGGAGCAGAGCTACGAACTGGCCAAAAAGGACCTGACTCCCTCACTCATCGGCATGACCCCGAGGGACTCCATGCATTTTGTGCCAGGCAATAAAATCTTGAGAATCCTGAAGTCCAAAGGTTTTTTTCCTGATCTTCCTGAGGATCGCTGTCATTTCATTAAGAAAGTGGTTGCTATTCAAAAGCTCCTTGAGAGGAAAAGAAAGAATAATGATGCTAAATTCTGTGTGATTCTGACAGCCAAATTCACCGTTTGGCTGAACGTTGTAAGATCAAGTAGGTCCTCTCCTCCAAACTGGAAATAGGAGTCATCCACAGCCTCTGCTCTGGTGGCTTGAATTTGTCTATGTACTCAAGCAATAAAATCTTTGTTTAAGTAAAAAAAAAAAAATGCAGTGAATGAGGTCACCTAGAGAATACAAGTAAATCAGAGTTGTTATTGTGGGTTTTTGTTTTTTTGTTTTTTACTATTTACTTATTTATGAATTTGAAACACAGGGGTGTGGTAAAGAAAACTGCCACCATTGGAGGAGACACTGGAGGACAAAGTCCTGGGGGTGATCCCGAACCCGACTTTAATGTAAGGAAGGTTGAGTGATAAAGTTGATTGTGCTGATGGCATCCCATGAGTTACCAGGAGCAAAGTAGCTGTAGGACTCATCCTTGGGAGTGGGTAACGTGGGCCTCTGCAGAATGTGAACAGCAGAGAAGATGACCCAAGAACAAGGTTTGTGGGAGTCCAGCACGTACAGGTGAGGTCAAGGAGAAGGAGAGGGAATGGCTGAGTTAGTGGTGAACACCAGGAGAGGGTGGTATCCTGGAAGTCAGGAGAAGGAAGGCGTGTCAGATATGTGAAATGCTGCCAAGAGTGAGACAAGCGAGAGGAGGACTCAAGGGGAGAGCATGTGGCCTGGCTTCAGACACTGGCTAGGGCACTGCTGCTGGCCAGCTCTACTCCTGACCAGCTAGCTTCTCACTAATGCGCACTGGGGGAGACACTGGTGACAGCTCAAATGGTTAGGTTCCTGCCACCCACATGGGAGACCTAGATTGAGTTATTAGCTCTTAGCTTTGGCCAGGCCCGAACTCAGCTGTTGGAGGCCTCTCTCTCTGCCTCTCAGAAGAGTCCATTGAAATTGGGGACCAGCACTGTGGTGCAGCAAGTTAAGCTGGTGTCTGTGCTGCTGGCATCTGAATTGAGCACTGGTTCATGCCCCAGTTTCTCCACTTCTGATCCAGCTCCCTGCTAATGCACCTGGGAAAGCAGCAGATGATGGCCTAAGTGCCTGGGCCCCTGACACCAATTCCCAGATGGAGTTTTAGGCTCCTGGCTTCAGCTGGCCCAGCCTGAACCATAGTAGCCATTTGGAGAGTGAACCAGTAGATGGAAGAGCTCTCTCTCTCCTCACCCCCACATGCTCTCTTCCTCCTTCTCTCTCTCTAATTCTGCCTTCCAAGTAAGTTTTTTAAAAATTGATACAGTGACCTTAGTAATAAGTGGATGTGGTGGGAGCAGAAGGCAGATTGAGTTAAAAGTGTGAGAGAGATGAGGGAAGAAGAAAGCCTGGCTGTGGAGAGAAATGGATAGAGCATAGTAGCTGGATTGGTGGGAGAGGGGAAGCAGGAGTAGAGTGATGAAGAGGAGAGGCCAAAGAGTGTGCCTCACTTCCATAGGAAGGCTCTGGAAGAGGGAGAGATGGATGCAGGAGGAATATACATGAGAAAGTCGGAGAATGACCGTTGATTGCCAGAAGGAGATTTGGCTTTTAGGGGAAGGGTGCAGAACTTATGGTAGATGAGGCGATGGGGAATTAGGATGTTGACAGCATGGTGCTTTCTGTGCCTCCAGAGGTACCACACTGCAGAGTTGCACCCAGGAAGTCACCTTGCACCCTGGCATGGTTCTGGTACAGTTATGTCCTCTTCAGGATTGTGCCATTGTCAGTATATGCTTTGTTTTGTTTTGTTTTGCTTAAGATTTATTTATTTGAAAGGCAGAGTTTTACAGCGAGTGAGAGAGGCAGAGACACAGAGAGAGAGAACTTCCATTGGCTGGTTCACTCTCCTAATGGCCGCAATGGCTGGAGTTGGGCTGGTCCAAAGCCAGGAGGCTCCTTCATGTCTCCCACATAGGTGCAGAGGTTCAAGGACGTAGGCCATCCTGCCTTCCCTGGCACATTAGCAAGAAGTTGGATTGGAAATGCAGTCGCTGGGACTAGAACTTGGCAGCCATATAGGATGCCGGTGTTAGACAAGTGGCAGCTTTACCCGTTACGCCACAACACTGGCCCCCATTTTCACTGTTACATTTTCCACTGGGTTGTATATCCCTTGACAAGGACTGATCCATCCCTAAGAAGGACTGATCGATTTGAAAACTCTTAGCCGAATGAAAAGAAAAACCTAGATTCATTCCTATCAGTAACGTGGGTGTTTTCTCATTTATGAATAAGATGAGTCAGCCAGCTGAATCAAGAGCAGCCAAGAAATTTACATAGACTAAAGGTGACAGTTGCCAGGGCAGGGGCTGAGCTTCAGTAAGAGCAGGATTCACAGTGAGACGCTTATCTTGTAAGAGCTCTTCTGCCGGGACTCAAGGGAATAGTGCCCAAGAAAGAAGGAAACATCTTTCCTACTTGAAAAAAGTTAATTAAATGGAACGAAGGAAATGAAGGAAATTTGAGATGGTGAAGCTTGGAAGGACTTTATAATCAGAACAATTTTAATAAAACAAGACCATTTGAGAGAAGCAGAAGAGATAAACTAGGAGCTAGAAGGAAAATAAACTAGTTGATTAAAAATTTTAATCTTAATTTTTGCCATAAGAAAAAGTCCCTTTCATCATTCTGGAGTAGATGGGATTGCAGCAAAAGGTAGAAAAATCTGAGTTGACAGTGGCTCATGTCATTTGGGGGTGGTGTTGTAGCACAGCTGGTTAAGTGACCACCTGCAATGCAGGCATCCAGTGGCGGAGCACTGATGCAAGTGCCGGCTGCTCTTGCTTCTGATGCACCTGGAAAGCAGCCCAAATATATTACATTGAGTAATACTCCAAATAAATGGACTGTCAGGTTTGGAAATACTTCCCTTTAACAGAATCATTTGACTGTTGTTATGCTGTGTTTTGTAACTACATAATATGGCGATGTAGAATATGAACGTGATCTGAGTTTGCATATCTAAAATTTTCAAATTCGGAGTGTTCACTTGGGCAGTTTTTTTTAAACAAATGCCTCTCTCTTAACAGGAAGACCTCTGGAGATACATTGGAGCTGGTGGAGGAGTCATTGGACATAAATCTGTTGAATAATGCAGTTCGTCTCAAATTCCAAAATTGCAGTGTCCTGCCTGGAGGGGTCTATGTCTCTGAGACTCAGAATCATGTGGTAGTCTTGATACTAACCAATCAAACAGTGCACAGGTTACTCTTCCCGCACCCTTCCCGGATGTACAGAAGTGTAAGTTGGTTCAGTGTAATATCTTTTATTTCCCAGATTACTCTGGCTGTCCCAGATTTAGTGCTCGAGCAATATCCTTTGGAACAGAAGGAAATGTGGGTTGCTTGTTAGCCCTCACCGACCATACTTTGATAGTTGCTATTCAAAATGACCAGACACATTTTAAGTTGAAGAAATAGTTTTCATTTTTAAAAAAATGTTTTTCTTCTTAAGCTCAATATTTTCTTCCTTTAAAAACATTTTCTTAACAGAGAGCAACATGAGTGATTTTGATCTAACAGATTTTTCTTTCTAATTGCTCCGCAGGAGTTGGTAATTGAAAGTCAGATGCAGTCAGTGTTCACTGACATTGGCAAAGTTGACTTCAGGGATCCTTGCAACTATCAGTTAATCCCAACGGTTCCTGGGCCAGCTCCTAATTCTGCCGCCTCAGCAGCCTGGCTTAGCAGTGATGGAGAGGCTCTGTTTGCACTGCCGTCTGCTTCTGGGGGCATCTTTGTTCTTAAACTACCTCCTTATGACATGCCTGGTAAGAATGGGAACTAAGCATGATTCCACTTTGAACAAGGACTGTTGCCATTTAAACAGACTTTTCAAGTTCTGCCCACGGTCCAGTGCACGCAGGTGCTTCTGTAGTATCCCTAAATTGTTCCTTCATCGCTAATTGCGCTAATGAATCTCTAATGCTTTCTTTTGTGTGTGTGTGTGTGTGTGTATGTGTGTGTGTGTTTTGACAGGCAGAGTGGACAGTGAGAGAGAGAGAGAGACAGAGAGAAAGGTCTTCCTTTTGCCGTTGGTTCACCCTCCAGTGGCCGCCATGGCTGGCGCGCTGCAGCCGGTGTACCGCGCTGATCTGAAGCCAGGAGCCAGGTACTTATCCTGGTCTCCCATGGGGTGCAGGGCCCAAGCACTTGGGCCATCCTCCACTGCACTCCTGGGCCACAGCAGAGAGCTGGCCTGGAAGAGGGGCAACCAGGACAGAATCCGGCGCCCCGGCTGGGACTAGAACCCGGTGTGCCGGCGCTGCTAGGTGGAGGATTAGCCTATTGAGCCACAGCGCCGGCCTCTTTTGTGTTTTAAGAGAGCAAGATTTTATGTCATAAAGTAGCTTATTTGATGTCCTTTAGTGTAGGTGAGTTGACTAGTTGTCTACCATCAGATTGAGGTGTTGTAATTAAATTAATTGAAATAAGTTTGACTGCTGAGACCCCACTCCAAGTCATCACTAGCTCCTGCCTGAATTCTTGCTTTATAGTTTCCTATATATCTCCTTGTACCTGTCCTTAACCCCCCTCAGCAACTTGTCAGGCAGACTGGGAGATTTAAAACCCAAGTTGGGTCCTGTCTGCGTTGCTCAAAGCTATCAGATGACGGTTGTTCTTCATCTCACTCTGAAAAACTCCAGCGTCCTTCCAGTGGCTTCCAGTGAGTTCCCCACTGCTGCCTCGAGTGTCTTTCTCTGCACCTGCTACATGCCCTCTTGCAATGCCTTGAACAAGCCAATGACATTCCTACCTCAGGGCCTTTGCCTGGGATAGCCAGTGCTAGCTTAAGACTTCAAGCAGTGTCACTTCAGAGAGACTTTCCCTGACTACCCTTTTCAAAATTGTAAGCACTTAACCACCACACACCGACACACCCAAACATTTTCTAGACTCCATTCCTGTTTTATTTTCTCCACTTATTATCAAGCTACCTAATTTGTCTCTGCCATGAGGACAGGGGTTGTGTGTTTTATTATTGTTATTTTGTTCACAGCTCTGTCTCCAACACCTAAAACTACTTGGCACATGAAAGATACCCAGTGATTATTTTGGAAAGCATGAAGCTGATTCTGTTTAGTGGCATTATGGGTTACTCCCTATAAATGAGAAATTTTCTCTGGGATTCTAAAAATAGTATTTTTATTGATCCAGTCGTGATTCAGAATATTATAGATGTGATGTATAGGTAAGGTACATCATACAAGTGTTAGCATAGAAATATAGAAGCCCATCACCTTATAAACACCTTGTTTATGGTTCCATCACTCTCGCCTTCGGTTCTCTCTGAGTCTGCTCATGAGGTGTCTTGGGTATCATTGCAGGGATGGCGTCCGTTGTGGAACTGAAACAGAGTTCAGTAATGCAGCGATTGCTTATCGGCTGGATGCCAACAGCTATCAGGTGAGTGGTATCTGACAGCTCGGGCGGGGTTCCCCATTTAGTCTTTCTGCCCTGGTCAGCATCAGTTAGTGCTTCCAGTTTTATTCCAAGGGAAACACTCTAACGGGAAAGAGAAGTCTGCATAACATCATGTCCCACCTGAGGAAAACCTCCCTTCAGAGTCTACTTCATTTGCCATTAGACACCTTGCAGAAGCTGGCTTCATGTTTATTCTCATGATGTGCACTTTGGCGCTCTGCCCTGACTTAATCAAATCTGCTTTTGAGCAAAATCATTAAAAATAGAAAGTTTTTGATGATTAGAATACAAAAAGGAATAGTATACAGTTGTTAGACAGTCTTAATTTTTTTTTTAAGTTAATTTATTTGAAAGGCAGAGTTACAGAGAGGCAGAGAGAGAGAAGTCTTCCATCCGCTGGTTCACCCCCCAGATGGCCACAACGGCTAGAGCTGTGCTGATCCAAAGCCAGGAGCTTCTTCTAGGTCTCCCACACTGATGCAGGGGCCCAAGCACTTGGGTCATCTTCTGCTTTCTCAGCCCATAGCAGAGAGCTGGATCAGAAGTGGAGCAGCTGGGACTTGAACCGGCACCGTTATGGGATGCCAGCACTGCAGGCGGCAGCTTTACCTGCTACGAGTTATCTCTACAAGTTATCTTGTATCTTTTGAATTGAAAACTGTAATGATCAGATTATTTGCAACAGTGAAACTGCAATTTTGCCTTCTGCTTCCAGGGGTGATCAGAGCCCTTCAGATCGAGCCCTGAGTCTTGCTGTCCATTGTGTTGAGCATGATGCGTTCATCTTTGCTCTGTGTCAGGATCATAAACTGCGAATGTGGTCTTACAAGGTAAATGGCACATTGATGGTTACTCTAAGTTAAAATAAGATGGCAAATCGTGAGACATATGAAATCCCACTGCTTCTCTTTAAGATTATCAAATTCAGTTAATTCGGAAATTATGAATCATTTCTAGTTTGAGATAGTTTCATTTAGCTTTATTTTGTATGCATTGTCTCCTATCTTTTTGTCTTTTTATTATGAAAATTATGAATCTGTGGACCAGCATTTGACCTAGCAGTTAAGATACCATATAAAGTGCCCACATCCCATATCAGAGTACCTAGTTTTGATACCTGGTTCTGGCTCCTGACTCTAGCTTCCTGCTAATGTGGACCTTGGGAGGCAGTACTGATGACTTAATTAGTTGCCTTCCTGCCATCCTTGTGGGAGACTTGGAATGGTAGTTGCAAAGGATGGGGAGAGTCGGGAAATGTTTATTGATGGGTGGTAAATTTTAGTTAGGAGGAAGAAGTTCTGGTGTTCTGTTACACAGTAGAGTGACTACAGATAACAATAATGTATTGCATGTGCATTCAGAAAAAAAACTCAAATGGATTTTGAATGTTTTCACCAAAAAGATGGTAAATATTGGGAGGGATAGTTATGCTTACTATTGAACATTGCACAATGTGTACACGTATTGAGACATCTCATGTTCTCCCATAGATATGTACAATTCTTATGTATCACTTAAAAATTTTAGGGGAGCGGTGTTGTGGGGCAGCAGGGTAAGCCACTGCTTGCAACACTTGCATTCAGTATTGGAATGCTGGTCAAGTACCAGCTACTCCACTTCCTGTCCAGCTGCCTGCTAATGTACCTGGGAAGCAATGTATAACGGCTGAAGTACTAGAGTCCCAGTTCCATGTAGGAGATCTAGCTGGAGTTTCTGGCTCCTAGCTTGGGCCTGGCTGAGGTCTGACTATTGCAGCCATTTGGGGAATTAACCAGTGAATAGAAAATCAACCAATCTCTCCCTCTCCTCCCTTCCCATCTTAGTCCTTTAAAAAAAAAAAAAAAACTTTATAAATTAGATGGAGTGCTTTATATGGTAGATGTAAATCCTCTAAAAACATAAAGGATGTGTTTTCTAGCCAGAATATTCTTTTTTGATTTATTTATTTGAAAGGTACAGAGAAAGAGGGGGCACAGAGAGAGAGATTGAAATCTTCCATTTGCTGGTTCAGTCCCCTAATGGTTGCAATGGCCAGGGCTGGGCCAGACCGAATCCAGGAGCCAGGAACTTCTTCTGGGTCTCCCACATGGGTACAAGGGCCATCCTTCTTCCTCCACTGCTTTCCCAGGCACATTAGCAGGGAGCTAGGTCAGAAGTGGGGCAGCGGGACTTGGACTGGTGCCCATATTGGATGCCAGTGTTGCAGATGGTGACTTTACCCACTATGCCACAACGCCAACCCCTCGGAATATTCTTTGAATAGCACCTGTTATCTCTTACCTTGAGCAGGACCAAATGTGCCTGATGGTGGCCGACATGCTGGAGTATGTCCCTGTGAATAAGGATCTTCGGCTCACTGCTGGGACTGGACACAAATTACGACTTGCTTATTCTCCTTCCATGGGACTCTACCTGGGGACGTACCTGCATGCACCGAAACGAGGACAGGTATGGAACAGAAAGCACCTGTGTGAGGTCTCCGCCTGCTCTGCTGTGGGGAAGGGAAGTACTTGTAGCCATGGACTATACGGTCTACTGAAGCTCTGCACACCAACCTAGATGTGTCATGGGTTGTTTCTGAGGTGATGGTGGCTTTTATGCTGACGTGTAAATCAGAATAACTTGGAGGAAATCAAGGATGAAACAAAATAGAGTTTAAAGGAATATCAAAGAAAAAGTTAACGAAAACTAAACAAAAAAGAGCAAATTTGAAAGACTAGAGGGGAAAAAATGGAAATTACTGAAGGGATGTAGGTGTTATTAATGGTTACCAGGAAGTTAATTTAGGAAATAATTTTGCTTATCATCCAAGCGCTAGCTGATGTCTGTAGATGAGAGATGTAGGATGTAACATGTTTGTATAGTCATATATGGGACAGCCGTTTGTTTGCAGTTGTATGTTTGGCACAGTGTCAGGTACATTCATAATAGCAAACACTTGGATTTTGCTTGCTTGTGCTCACACCACATTTTTTATGCATTTGATCTCAAGACCCAGACTGGGTCCTGGCCCTGGCTGGATGTTTCCCTCCTTCCTGTTGCACTCTGTTAGCCCACTCCAGGTTCCCCTTCCATATGGATTCCCTCATCCTTTGTGGGCTCCTACACCGCTAGACCACTCCCATCTGAATTTCCTCCTGTGCCTGGCTTTCCCTGTATGTGGAGGCCCTCTCCCCCTTCTGCTGCTCCTATATCCCAACCCAAGCCACTCCCAGATATGCATACTCTTCTTACCTTAGCTCCTTGAGTCATTCCGGCAGAGCATCCCACCCTTTGTGAGCCTCCCCTCCTCACCTGCTAGTGTCCTCACTCCCCATGCCGGGACACACCTGCATAGGTGTTCCTTCAGTGTGCTCAGCCTGACTCCCCATGCCAAACCCCACCTCTACCTCAAGCCCTGGACCAACAAAAATATCTGTCTTGCTCTGGGTACCTGATAGTTTTTGGACTGGATTATTCAGGAACAATATGGAAACAAAGGGAAAGAGTGCCTTCTTGAAGCCAAACATAGGCTGTTGATGCGCTTTCTCAATCTCGCACACATTATCTATTCCCTTTTCCATAGGACAACTCTTCCAATGTTTGAACACATCTGTCTGTCTCCTCCTAAGTGTGCTCTTCTCTGGTGTAGAATATAGGTGGCAGGAGAACAGACTTGCTGTTAGTTCCTTCAGTTAATATTTAAAAAAAAAAAAAAAAAAGATTTATTTATTTGAAAGTCAGAATTAGAGAGAGAAGGAGAGGCCGAGGGGGGGTGGTTTCATCCACTAGTTCACACCCAAATTGGCTGCAATTGCTGGAGCCATGCCGATCTGAAGCTAGGAGCCAGGAACTTCTTCGGCTCTCCCATGCAGGTGCGGGGGCGCAAGGACTTGGGCCATCTTCTACTGCTATCCCAGGCCATAGCAGAGAGCTGGATCGGAAGTGGAGCAGCCAGGACTCGAACCAGTGCCTATATGGGATGCTGTCACTGCAGGCAGTGGCTTTGCCCACTACATCACAGCCCCGGCCCCATTCAGTTACTATTAATGTAAAAATCCACTTGGTCACTTTCTTCAACATGTTCCAATTAGTTTGTCACTAGTAAATGATTAGTAAAATAATAATTCTCATACTTTTTGGTCTCAGGACCCTATTATAGTCTTAAAAAATTTTTATGGGGGCTGGCGCTGTGGTGTAGTGGTTAAAGCCACTGCCTGCAGTGCTGACATCCCATCTGGGCACCAATTCAAATCCCAGCTGCTCTACTTCCAGTTGAGCTCTCTGCTGTGGCCTGGGAAAGCAGTAGAAGATAGCAGCCCCTGCACCCATGTGGGAGACCTCTCTGTCTCTCTGCCTCTCCTTCTCTCTGTGTGTAATTCTGATTTTCAAATAAATAAATAAATCTTTAAAAAAAATTATTCATGGGACCAGTATTTAGCCTAGCAGTTAAGTTACCCGCGTGCCATATTGGAGTGCTGGGTTCAGATTGAGCTCTGGCTGTTGACATTAGCAGCTTCCTGCTAATGAAGATCCTGAGAGGCAGTCTTGATGCCTAAGTAATTGGGTCCCTGCCAGCCACATCTGGGGCTCCCACGTGGGTGCAGTGGACCTAGCCTTTGGGTCATTTTCTACTGTTTGCCCAAGCACCTTAGCAGGGAGCTGGCTTAGAATTAGAGCAGCTGGGACTTGAACTGGTGCTCATATGAGATGCTGGTACTGTAGGCTGTGGCTTTAACCTGCTGTGCCACAGTGCTAACCTCATGAATAAATAAATTTTTAAAAGAAAAAAATAAGCTTAGACTTACCACATGAGCCAGCAGTTCCACTTCTGCTTATATAACTGAAAGAATTGAAACTAGGGTGTCAAAAAGATATTTGTATAACCATATACATAGCTGCAGGTAACCCAAGTGAATGAATAAGCAAAATGTGGTATATGCATGTAGTTGAATATTACTCAACTTTAAAAAGGAAGGAAGTTATTCTGGGAAAGCAGTAGAGGACGGCCCAAATCCTTGGGCCCCTGCACCTGCGTGGGAGACCCAGAAGAAGCGCCTGGCTCCTGGCTCCGGATCAGTTCGGCTCTGGCCATTGCAGTCATTTAGGGAGTGAGCCAGTGGATGGAAGACCTCTCTCTCCTTCCCTCCCTCCCTCCCTGGCTTTCCCTCTCTCTGTAACTCTTTCTTTCAAATAAATAAAATAAATCTTAAAAAAAACGGAGGGAAGTTATTAAGGGTGTTTTGCTAAGTGAAATAAGCCATTCACAAAAAGAAAATTCTATCTATTCCATTTATATGTAAGTACCTAGAGTAGTCAAATTCACTGCAACAGAAAGTAGAATTCGGTTGCCAGGGCCCAGGGCACGGGAAATAGAGTTGTTGTTTAGTGGGTATCGAGCTTTAGTTTTGCAAGATGAAAAAATTTAGAGATTGGTTGCATGAAGTCAGTGTACTTTGTACTACTAACCTGTGTCGTTAACAATGATATTTTATCACAATTTTCAATAAATGGCTTCTGAATACTAATAACACTTGCTTTAAAAATGTAGCATGTTGATTATTTCAAGGAATAACTTACCAACTTGTGTTTTACCAGTTCTGCATCTTCCAGTTGGTGAGCACTGAGAATAACCGCTACAGTCTGGATCACATTTCCTCTCTCTTTACTTCTCAGGTAAGTTGAATCTTTGCATAGTACACAGTACAAGAAAGCAGTGTCTGAATCCCCAGTACGTTGTAATGGCATTATAGAACTACAATGAAGTATCTCAAAAAGCAAAAATAAATAACTAAAGTAAAATGAAACACTTAATGATGTATGAAAATTATTTTATTTGGGTTTTACCAAGTTCGTGTGGTACCATGTTTTTAATGTGCTTACCTCTTCTGCTGATACGAATGTGAGTCATTATGAACTACCTTTTCTAATCTATTCCCTTTGTTCCTCCCGCATTTCCTTGTAGGAGACACTGATTGACTTTGCCTTAACCTCCACGGATATCTGGGCTCTGTGGCATGATGCTGAGAACCAAACGATTGTGAAATACATCAACTTTGAACAGTACGGTCACTTAACTCTCACCCTACCTCACTTGAAGCAGTTTCGTGCTAACAGCAGTGATGTGGACACAGTCTGCAAACATATCCATGTATTAAGATTTATTTATTTATTTGAAACAGTTATACAGAGAGAGAAGGAGAGACAGAGAAAGAGGTCTTCCACCCACTAGTTGACTCTCCAATTGGCCAAAATGGCCAGAGCTGTTCCTATCCGAAGCCAGGAGCCAGGAGCTTCTTCCAGTCTCCAACATAGGTGCAGGGGCCCAAAGATTTGGGCCATCTTTTGCTGCTTTCCCAGGCCATAGCAGAGAGCTGGATCGGAAGTGGAGCAGCCAGATCTTGAACCGGCGCCCACGTGGGAAGCCGGCACTACAGGCAGCGGCTTTACCCACTTATTCCACAGCCCTGGCCCCCATAGAATTTTTTACCTAGAAACTAAGTCAAGGGTTTTCATTTGAAGGGTTTGCCTATTGTTAATATGTTCTCAAGTACCTTCTTTTGCATTTTGTCATATTTCTTACCTTTTGATTTTAGAATATGAGGATTCTTATGGTTGGACCAAGATAAAGAAAACATATTACTTTGGAGTGAGAACATGTATCCAAAATACTTCTAAGAATTTTCTTCACTTTTAAACAGAGTTGATACCTACAACCTCCAAACAAACAAAAAACGCAGTAACCCCTCTTTATTTTCACTTTCCTTGTGAGATGAGAAATAGATTGGACAAGTATAGTACTTCTTAAACATTTTTGTAAAAATCTTTTTAAATATTTATTTTATTTATTTGAAAGGCACAATTACAGAGGGAGAGAGATCTTCCATCTGCTGGTTCACTCCCCAAAATGGCCACAATGGCTAGGACTGGGCCAGACAGGAGCCAGGAGCTTCTTCCAGGTCTCCCACGTGGGTGGCAGGGGCTCATACATTTGGGCCATTTGCTGCTGCTTTCCCAGGCACTTCCCAGCTAGATGGGAAGTTGGAGCAGTCAGGACCCAGATCAACTGCTTTATAGGATGCCTGTGTTGCAGGCTGTAGCTTCACCTGCTACACTACAACATCAGCTCCCAAAACTTTTATTTATTGTTATTTACTTGAGGGGAAGAGAAAGAGAGCTGTCATTTGCTGGTTCACTCCTCAGATGCCTGCAACACTTAGGGCTAGGGCAGGGCCAGAGCCAAGATCAGGAAATGGCATTCAGATCTCCCACATCTCCAGCAGGCCCCCAACTACTTGAACCAAAACTGGCTGCCTCCCAGGGTATACATTAGCAGGAAGCTGGAACTGGGAGTAGAGCCAGGACTTGAATGCAGGTACTCTAAGGAATGTAGGCTTCTCAACCATGAGGCCTAATCCCTGCCTCCAGACATTTTTTTCAAAAACAGGAAACCTCTTTTTCAAAACTTAATGGACTCTACAATATAAAACTAAACTAGTATTTTGTGATTATAAAATTAGAGCTCCACTTAACATTGATAATTTCATATTTAGATATACTTGGGAATCTTATTTTTAATGTATGTGACATTAGTTTTAAATTTTTTAGTTGTTGCAAATTATTTTTAAAACCAGGTGGTTGTTTTTTTTTTTTTTTTTTTAAGACTTATTTATTTATTTATTCGAAAGAGTTGCAGAGAGAGCCAGTGAGAAGTTTTCCATTTGCTGGTTCACTCCCCAAATGGCCACAATGGCTAGAGCTGGGCCAGACTGATCTGAAGCCAGGAGCCAGGAGCTTCTTTTGGGTCTTCCACACAGGTACAGGGGTCCAAGGACTTGGGCCATCCTCTACTGCTTTCCCAGGCCATAGCAGAGAGCTGGATTGGAAGTGGAGCAGCCGGGACTTGAACTGGCCCCCTACAACCAGTTTTGAAGCAAACACTGTTTATCCCCAAAACATCTGTAGAGGATTTTTGGAACAGAACTTGACCACTGAACTCATGGAGTCCTCTAGGTCCCTCTTCACCCTGAATTCTAGGGTAAAATTCTGGGGATGGTTACCCAGACTGATCTCAAACCACACCCCCAAAAAATGTGAAAGTTCTCCTGATAGGTAGCAGTCAAGCAAAATGATGAAAGAGCACAGGCTCCTGTAACTGAAGCAGGATTGGAATCCTGGTTGTGTAACTAATGAGCTCTGATACACCCTAAGCCTCATTTTTCATTTCTGTAAAATGGGGGGTAATATATCTTTCAAAGAATTATTATGGGTACCATTGCTGTTTTGAGCCATCAGCTGCTGCCTCCCAGGGTGTACATTAGCAGGAAACTGGAGAAGCCAGGTATCAAACCCAGACACTCCAATTTGGGACACTGGTATCTTAACCACTAGGCCAAATGTCTGCCCTGAATTTTTTCAATAGAATTGGATCAAACAGCCCTTGCAGTGGTTCAGCAGAGGGGCCTTTCTGGCCAGATAATGGCAACAGCATAAATTTGCTTTTTAGTCATCATTTTTAGGTTAACTGATGAACTTTTTCTCTCTGCAGTAATGTTGCAGGTCAGTGGAATCCAGTGTTTATACAGCCTCTGCCAGAGGAGGAGATCATCATCAGAGATGACCAAGACCCCAGAGTAAGCAACACTATAAGGCTGCCTTAGGGGATCATTTACCCTGGCCATTAGTTTAGTTTAAGGAGAACCTGTTGTATTAGTTGGAACTCAACTGCAGGTGATGGAACTGGCCTTGACCTGACTGAAGCTGAAAGACTGCATTGACTTGAGCAGCTGAGGTTCAGTATCGCCTGGCTTGGTCTCCACCTTCTCTCTGTTCTTCCCTCCTTGTTGGGTTTTTCTCAGGCAGGCTGCCTCCCTGGAGTCAGTGCATTCTGTGAACTTAGCAACCCCAGAGGAAGGAAAGCAGCACCCGCCTCAGGCCCTCAGTCTCACTGGCCTGCCTTAGTCTCTCTGGTCAGAAGGAATAGAATAATCTGGCTTGGTATGACACACGTGTCCAGCCTGAGCCTTGCTATTGCAAGGACTGGTGAAGTCATTTGAGGTGGGTAAGGGAGGAATGACTTCCCAAAGAAGGATAAGGGATTTGTTAGTAAAATGAGGGGGAAACAGGTGCTGGGCAAGCATAAATGTTAGGGGTCCACAACACCATGTTAGTGCATGCACATAAATCAGAAGTTAGATAATTCTGATAGAAGTCTGTGCCATGGAGGGAATAATTTTAAAAGGTAATTCAGTAGCCAACAGGCCAGTCTCCCCATTTTTCAGGAACACCCTCAGGATCAATGAAAGAAAAGCTTTCAGTCGATGCCTTAGTGTTAGCATGAGACTAAAGATATGGGCTGTGGGTCTGAAACAACGACTGCTTTAAATATCTGTAGTTGAAAGTTGTAGTCACAAGAGTTTATTGAGAAGGACACGGGAGACTGGGACTTGGGGAGGTGTTGGGACGTGATTACTGGGTTAGGAGGGGTTTGTGGGTGAGCCTAAGTCCCCGGCTTGCTAAGGAGAGGGATGAGGACAAGCTTCCACTCATGGGGTCAGGTAGGTGTAGCCCTTTCCAAGGTGCCAGCTCTTGAACAGAAAAGGAGAATGGCATTTCTCAAACCTGCTTGTGGTGCGTGGTGTGAAGTTCCTCAGCCACTTCTCTCCAGTTTGTGAGGCGAAACTAGCAGTCCTTTCTCTTTGTATCCAGCAAATTGAAACAACACTCAATATTTTAGCTGCAAAATTGTCTTCTTCCTGAGACTCAGCGATGTCCGATTTGGAGTCCTTCCTTTAAGTGTCACAAATGATTCGTCTTCGGAAACTTCTTCAGAGCTATCCCAACTATCAGAATTTTTCAAGTGAATGTTCCAGTGGTGGCAATAAGAAACAAAATGGTGTCAGGTCGAGGTCAGATATTTTTGAGAGGCCACTATGGATGATCCAGTGTCTGATGGTGAAAGTGAAAAAATGACAGAAGAAAGTTCAGATAAATGAATCTTCTTTTAGTGGTCAAGGTTAATTTTGATAAGAATTACATATATGTGTAGGGCATATTTGCGCCCTGAGAGAGCCTGAATTCTCTTAGTCTCACGAGCATCAAGTGGCCATGTGTCTACCACCAAGCTTTCCCTATGTTTAAAAAAATATATAAGCTGCCCAAAGTAAAACACATCATTGGTGATGATTATTTGTTCCATTTAAGAACACCTGGGCACTTGGCTTTTGTCTGAAAGCCGAAATCATGTGCTGATTGTTTAAATCCTTGTTTTTCTCTTTTTGATCATTTTCTCCTCCACCAGAACCACCAGTAGAAGGAAGCAAACATGAGTGTCAGTCAGATTTGCTGTTTTGGCAAATTTGGTTTATGAGATTTGGTCAGACTATGTGGGTAAAATGAGATTTTCCATTTTATTATCCTCCCTTGTGAGAAGTTATTGAAGCTTATTTTATTTACTTATAAAGCTTATTACTGCCAGTTCCTTTGGTAGATGGTTTCCCTTACGAATGCATATTCCAATAAACTGGGTTCAACCTTCGGTTAGAGATTGTTAAAAATTTGACAAGCCATGTTTTCCAGTGGAGCCCGATGGCAAACTCCATGGTTGCCATTTTCAGCTCAGTGCATCTGGTTGATCCTTAGACTTTACAGTCTTCATTTCCAGTGTGAAAATATAGGTAACTGCAGTACTGCTGCTTAGCGTTCAGATGGAGAAGAGGGCAATGTCTGGGTTCATACAATGAGACTAGAGCTTTTGTGTCAATGTGTTGAATTCTTCCATCAATATTTTCCAAATGTTGCCTTTTTTAGAGTGATATTAACTTTTGTTTTATTTCTCTAACAGGAGGTGTATTTGCGGAGTCTTTTTACTCCAGGACGATTCATAAATGCAGCTTTATGTAAAGCGTTACAGGTCAGCAAGAATACATTTCATGTTTATATGAGACCCTTTACTGAATTACTGTACGTGTGATGTAATGACCATTTTCTTTTGTATTTCCATGTCATAAACACTGAACCTGTTTCTGCATTTATATGTACTTGTTTTTATAAACACATTTTTTTAAGATTTATTTTATTTATTTGAAAGAGTCAAAGAGAGAGGTAGAGACAAAGGAAGAGAGGTCTTCCACCTGCCAGTTCATTCCCCAAATGGCCGCAATGGCTGAAGCTGAGCCAGTCTGCAGCCAGGAGCCAGGAGCTTCTTCTGGGTCTCCCACGTGGGTGCGGTGGCTTAAGGACTTGGGCTATCCTCTACTGCTTTCCTAGGTACATCAGCACGGAGCTGGAGTAGCTGGGCCCATATGGGATGCCGGCACCACAGGCCAGGGCTTTATTATTTTTTTTTAAGTTCATCTGTGCCTTTTATTTTTTTTTTTTAAGAATTATTTTATTTATTTTGAAAGACAGAAGAGTTACAGAGAGAGGTAGAGCCAGAAAGAGAGAGAGAGAGGTCTTCCATTCCACTGGTTCACTCCCCAAACGACTGCAACAGCCAGAGCTGAGCCAATCTGAAGCCAGGAGCCAGGAGCCTCCTCCAGGTCTCCCAAGTGGGTGCAGGGGCCCAAGGAGTTGGGCCATCCTCTACTGCCCTCCCACGCCACAGCAGAGAGCTGGATTGGAAGAAGAGCAGCCTGGACTAGAACCGGCGCCCATATGGGATGTTGGCGCTTCAGGCTGGAGCCCTAATCCGCTGCACCCCAGCACTGGTCCCACTGTTGTATTTTCTTAATGAACTTCCCATTAAATAAGACTCCTAGTAGAGAAGCTGGGGCAGGGAACACTTTCATAATAACTAGTGAAGAATGTTAGTAGTAGAAAGAGAAACTTGTGCCTACACTACTCAAAGTGTAAAAAGATACTACATTACATGGTGTTTATAACTCTGTACTTGAAGGAAATTTGATGTGACTTTACCCTTTCATTAACACAGTGAAAGTCCGGCTTGATTCAGGTTCAAGAAAACTCAAAAAATTTTTAACCTCAAAGGAATATGGTTTTTAGAGATGCTTAATGCTTTCAAAAAGATTTTTTTAAACTTCAAAAACAATTTAAATGTTTTATTTTAATTAATTGAAAGGAAGAAAGAGAGCAACAGAGATGTTCCATCCCCTAGATTTCTCTCCAGGTGCCCTTAATGACATTTGTGGTGTCAAGCCTAGATTAGGCCAATGCCAGGAGTCTGCTACTCAACCTGGGGTGGCAGGAACCCAAGCACTTGAGCCATTATATGCTGCCTCCGAGTCCACGTTAGCATGAAGCTAGAATGGAGAGCAGAGCCAGGATTCAGGCACAGGCTCTCCAGTGTGGGATGTGGGCATCTCAAGCAGCAGCTTAATCACTATACCAAATGTTTGCTCCACAACAGAATTTGTTTATTTACCAGTGCTGTGGCACAGCGGGTTAAAGCCCCAGCCTGCAATGCCAGCATCCCATATGGGCGCCTGTTTGATTCTCAGCTGTTCCACTTTTATGCATCTCCTTGCTAAAGTGCCTGGGCAAGCAGCAAAGGATGGTGGATGGCAAAGTGCTTGGGCTCCTGCACTCAAGTGGGAGACCCAAGAGAAGCTCTTGGCTCCTGGCTTCAGCCTGCTCAGTCCTGGCTGTTGCAACCATTTGGAGAGTGAAAGAAAATCTCTGTCTCTCTCTCTCTCTCTCTCTCTCCCTCCCTCCCTCCCTGCTCTTTGTATATGTGTGTGTGTCCTCTCTCTCACTAACTCTGCCTCTCAAATTTTTGTTGTTGTTGTTAAATTTATTTATTTATTTGTTAGGCAGAGTTAGAGAGAGGTCTTCCATCTGCTGGCTCATTTCCAAAGTGGCCACAATGGCCAGAGCTGGGCCAATCCAGGAGTTTCTTCCAGGTCTCCCTCATGGGTTCAGGGGCGCAAGCACCTGGGCCATCTTCCACTGCTTTCTCAGGCCATAAGCAGAGAGCTGGTGCCACAGCGCCGGCCCCTAGCAAATAGTTTTCTTCAAGAATCGTTCTCAGTGGAGTGACATACTTATCACTAGTCTAATTTCCCTTTGTGCCAGTCTTAGGATGTATGTGTTTGGCATCATTTTTATCTTTCCAACTGAGCAGTAAGGGTTATTTTGTATTTTGTAATGATCTGAATGTACTCTGTAAAATTTTTTTAGATTCATGTATTCCTGTCATTTACTCTGATCTATGGAAACTTATTTCAAAAATGCTATAATTTGTTTTTCAGAAATTATTTGCCCAGTGTTGAAATAAATGTAATCTCTATCAAACAGTGCTTTGCCACCATACCTTCTTTTTATTTTTTAAAGATTTATTTATTTATTTGCAAGTTAGAATTATACAGAGGGAAAGAGGCAGAGAGAGAAAGGTCTTCCATTTGCTGGTTCACTTCCCTGTTGGCCACAAGGTCCAGAGCTGCACCGATCTGAAGCCAAGAGCTTCTTCCGGGTTTCTTACATGGGTGCAGGGGCCCAAGGACTTGGGCCATCTTCTACTGCTTTCCCAGGCCATAGCAAAGAGCTGGATTGGAAGTGGAGTGGCCAGGACTTGAACTGGAGCCCATATGGGATGCTGGCACTGCAGGTGGTAGCCTTACCTGCTACACCACAGTGCTGGCCCCACCACCATACCTTCTAAATTGAAATATTTTTAATTTGGTTTTGAGTAGTGTATAATACTCTAAAATGTCTCTTTTAATTTTAGATTTTCTGCAGAGGAACTGAGAGAAATATGGATTTTTCCTGGAGTGAACTAAAGAAAGAAGTTACTTTAGCTGTTGAAACAGAGGTAAGTTTGGGGTAGGAAAAGAGTGATACTTTTCTTCCCTCTTGATACTAAGGAGTTGTTGGAATTCTTCACCTGACCTTGTTAGTAGGAAGTAGAATTGTATAAACCCTTCTATTAGAGAATTAAACATATATTCACATAGTCTCTGTCATGTCATACATAAGGAATATTCATTTGGCTATAACTTAATAAAATGATATCGGACAATTATGTATGTGGGTTTTTTGTTTGTTTTTTGTGGAGATAGATCCTGAGTTGTCATCAAGAGTTTGATTTCTTTCTTTGCCAGCTCCACGGAAGTGTAACAGAGTATGAGTTCTCCCAGGAGGAGTTTCGAAATTTGCAGCAGGAGTTCTGGTGCAAGTTCTATGCCTGTTGTCTTCAGTATCAAGAAGCCCTCTCTCACCCTCTCGCTCTGCATTTGAACCCCCACACGAACATGGTGTGCCTGCTGAAAAAAGTAAGGAGGCTAAAGCCTACAGAGCTCCCTAAAACAGTTCAGTGGTTCCTCAGGTGTGCTAGTCTGGTGAAAATCGCGGTTAGCTTTGAGAGCTTATTTTTTTCTCCATAAAATCATAGCTCATTTATATTTAGCCTTCTAAATTATTATCTATCCTTTTATCCTTCCTTTCCCTCCCTCCCTCCTTTCCCCTTTCTCACCCCCTCCTCCTCCGTACTTGAGCCATCACCTGTTGCTTCCCATAGTGGGCATTAGTAAGAAACTGGAATTAAAAGCAAAGCTGGAATTCAAATCCCAGCACTCTAGTTTAGACGTCCCTCTCAAACAGTATTTTTTTTTAGGATCTATTTATATTTATTTTTTCAAAAATTATTTATCTTTTCAGGAGAGCAACAGAGTGAAAGATGTATTGATCTTCTATCTACTGGTTCATTCACCCAAATATTCACAACAGCCAGGTCCAAACCAGGCCAAAGCTAGGAACCAGGAAATAAATACATCCTGGTCTCCCACATGGGTGGCCTGGGCCCAAGTATTTGGCTCGTCTTCTGTTGCCTTCCCAGGCTCGTTAGCAGGAAATTGGATCAGAAGCAGAGCTACTGAGATTCCTCAAGTGGCATCTTAACCCACTGTGCCACAACACTGGCTTTACTAGTGGTGTCTTGACTTATGACCAAATGCCCACCCTGATCTATTTTGTTTTACATTTGATTTTTAAATTTATTTATTTAATAGATAATAAAAAATTAAAATTAAAGTAGAATAAAACATTATATTTTATTTGTTGAATAAATGATAAAAATTAAAAATAGCATAAAAATTTTTTTTTTTTTTTTTGACAGGCAGAGTTGGACAGTGAGAGAGAGAGACAGAGAGAAAGGTCTTCCTTTTGCCGTTGGTTCACCCTCCAATGGCTGCTGCGGCCGGCGCGCTACGGCCAGTGCACCGCGCTGATCCGATGGCAGGAGCCAGGTACTTCTCCTGGTCTCCCATGGAGTGCAGGGCCTAAGCACTTGGGCCATCCTCCACTGCACTCCCTGGCCACAGCAGAGAGCTGGCCTGGAAGAGGGGCAACTGGGACAGAATCCGGCGCCCTGACCGGGACTAGAACCCAGTGTGCCGGCGCCGCAGGGCGGAGGATTAGCCTAGTGAGCCGCGGTGCCGGCCTAGAAAGCCTTCATCCAGATCCATCTTTTAATTTCCATTTGTGATTCTTCTTTGTATAAATATGTTTTTTTTTCTGGGCCATTTGAGAGTTTTCTTCCCAGCTTGTAGCATCATGCACTTTTTTTTTTTTTTTAAGATATATTTATTTATTTGAAAGGATACAGAGAGAGAAGGAGAGACAGAGAGCTTTCATCTGCTTGTTCACTCCCCAAATGGCTGCAACAACTGGGGCTAGGCCAGGCTGAAGCCAGGAGCCAGAAGCTTAATGCAGGTCTTCAGCATGGATACAGCAGCCCAAGGACTTGGGCCATCTTCTGCTACTTTCCCAGAAGCATTAGCAGGAAGCTGATCAGACATGGAGCAGCAGGACATGAACTTGTGCTGGTGCTATAGGCTATGGCTTAATCCACTGTGCCACAGTGCTGGTCCCAGACATCATGCCCTTTTGTCCTTAAAAACTTCAGCAAGTCTCTAAAAGCATGGATGTTTATCCTAAATAACCACAGTAGAATTTAAAGATCAACAATTTGATATTGATACATTATTACACAGTTAATAATTTTTCCAGTTGTGCCCATAATTTTCTTTGTGATCCAAGATCCAATCCGAGGACCTAGATATATCTAGTTGTCTTGTTTATTTAACTTAATCTTGAACTATCTTCAGCCTTTCTTTGTCTTTCATGACTGACATTTTTCTGATGACTACACATGTATTTTTTACAGTGTCCATCAACTGGAGTTTCTCTGGTGTTGCCTCATGATAAAACTCACATCACAATTATTTTATACCTTTAAAAATTCACTGAAAAAATGTAACCAGAATATTTCAATTTCCAGGGGTACCTGTCTTTTCTTATGCCCTCTTCCCTAGTGGACCATTTGTATCTACTGCCTGATGAGAACCTGTTGACAGAGGATGAGACAACCATATCTGATGGTAATGATTGTTATTTGTATGTTTATTCCCTTTCCTACATGAACCTGTGCTTTATTACAAGTACATGCAAAATATACTCTGGTTTCTCTTCAGATCGTATAAATCTTTCACCTTTTACAAGTACATGCAAAGGACATTGATTACCACTGGCCATTTTACCACATTGTAGATACTTCAAGGGAAGATATAGAGGCCTCCATATCTCAAAGACATCAGATAGATGTCTGGGCATTTAATAATTAACAATATAATATTAATTAGATCACTGATTTGAGACTAGAATGTTAACTTTTCTCTTCCTAGATGTGGATGTTGCTCGAGATGTCATATGTCTTATAAAATGTCTTCGGCTGATTGGAGAGTCCGTAAATATGGACATGTCAGTTATGATGGAAATGAGTTGCTACAACCTACAGTCTCCAGAGAAGGCTGCGGAACAGATTCTGGAAGATTTGATCACTGTTGATGTGTAAGGAGAACTTAGGGTAAAGTGCATTTCCTAATGGAAATTCAGCAATTTTTAGTGCCAAATCGAATTTTTGTATGCAAAAGAGTGTTCAAATTAATGGCTTGAAGATAAAATGAATTGTCATGATTCTCAATAGATATTTCAGCTTTTGGACAATTTTTTTAAATAAATCTTTGTCTTTTTTTTAAGAATTATTGATTTATTTAAAAGGCAGAGTTACAGAGAGGCAGAGAGAGAGAGAGGTCTCCATCTGTTGGTTCATTCCTCAGGTGGCTTCAACAACTGGAGCTGGGCCCATCTGAAGCCAGGAGCCAGGAGCTTCTTGGTCTCCCACGTGGGTGCAGGGGCCCAAGAACTTGGGCCATCTTCTACTGTGTTCCCAGGCCATGTATAGAGCTGGATTGGAAGAGGAGCAGCCAGGACTCGAACCAGCACCCATATGGGACACAAGCACTACAGGTGGTGGCTTTACCCACTATGCCACGACGCCAGCCCCCAGAAATTTGTTTAAGGGTTTTTTTTTTTTTTTTTTTTTTTTTTTTAAGATTTGTTTGTTTGTTTGAAAGTCAAAGTTACAGAGAGAATCTTCCATCTTCTGGTTCACTCCCCAGATGGCTATAATGGCCAGGCCAAAGCCAGGAGCCAGGAACTTCATCTGGGTCTCCCATGTGGATGACAGGGGCCTTGGACCATCTTCTCCTGCTTTCCCAGGCCATTAGCAGGAAGCTGGATCAGCAGTGGAGCAGCTGGGACTTGTACTGGTGCCCATGTGGGATGTAGCCGGGACACGAGCTAGATGTCATGGGCTGTGGCTTTATCCAGTATGCCACAACACCAGCCCCAAACAGAAATTCTAACACATGCAGATTCCTAAGCTGTGATACAGCTATTAATTATTGATTCTAAAAAGAAAAAGTAGTTTCCTCACAATCATCTTGTTTGCCAGTTCTGAAAAGTTGAAAGAAATTTTGCTGTGTGGTATCTCGTATACCTGAACAGTTGTGTCTCCTGCTTTATCACGTTGCTGGCTTTCCTGTGTCACAGAGCATTTAGTTTACAGGACATTGGGTATTCTTGGTAGTATTCTTGGTAGTAACAGAAGTTTCCTGATTGCCTCTGTAGAGAAAATGTGCTAGAGGATATTTGTAGTAAACTGCAAGAAATTCGGAATCCAATCCAGGCCATTGGCGTTCTTATACGGGAAATGGATTATGAAACAGACGTGGAAATGGAAAAGGGATTCAATCCAGGTAAATGACAGAACAGCCAAAGTACCTCTTGGCTTTAGAGAAAGCAGTGATACATTTAACTTTATTTCTTATTTCAGCTCAGCCTTTAAATGTGCGGATGAATCTTTCCCAGCTCTATGGGAGTAGCACAGCAAGTTACATTGTATGCAGAGCGGTGTTTAAAATCGCCAGCACCCGCTTCCTGATCTGCCGAGACCTCTTGATCTTACAGCAGCTCTTACTGAGGCTAGGAGATGCAGTAAGTACTACTAAAGGGAAAACTTAAAAACTTAAAACGTGACGTAATCTATAGGCACATGGCAGCAGGATTTCTGCTCTGTGAGCAGAGACTTGTCTTTGTTCACCACTGTATCCCTCAGGCTTGGCCCAATTAGGTGCTCTGTAAATATGTGTTGAATTAAGAATGACTTGAAGATTACAGATTAAGAACATGCGTGAAGCAGATTACTTTATATTAATCTTTGTATGTATAGCGTTGGCAGATTTTCCCAGGTTGACTGTTGGCAGTAGTTAGTATTTTTTGTACAACTTTGGATGTGACAGCAGGGTACCCTGTAGTGTAGAGGACAGTAGAGGAAGAAACATCTGTTTGCAGATGAGGGCTCACTCTAAAGCACAGTTTTTAAGATTGCAAAGTTTGTTTTTTTGGTTTTCCCTACTGCGTTCCGTGCCTCCTTTTCAATCGTTTTCTCTGCAGGCCGCCAGACTCTTTTACCACCATACAGTCCTAATAGCCCACCCTTCTGAATGCTCTGTGCTAAACGTTGCCTTTCTGCCCACTTGAGAAGTCCCTGAGTCAGTGATCTATGCGAGCTGGCAAGGAAAACATCTGATTCAACCAATTCATGTGTGTAAGGGGCCTTTGGGGCTCCCAGGACTACTCATACTTTTAAATCAAAACTTATTAAATTCAAATACATTGCTAATGGTAGAATTTCAGGCAATAAAAAAATGTGAAAAGATAATTTTAATACCACCAAGAAACAGGCACTTTTCCTAAGAGCCTTTCTCGTAGGTTAGCCCATACCAAATTCTTCCTTTTTTAAAACTTTTTGTTTACTCATTTATTTGCAAGGCAGACAAACAGATTTCATGCTTGTTGATTCACTCCCTTAATGCCTGCAACAGCTGAGGATGGGCTAGACTAAAGCCAGGACCTGGACCGCAGTCTGAATTTCCCAGGGTCCCAAGTACTTGAGCCATCACCTGCTGCCTCCTGGGATACACATTAGCAGAAAGCAGGTATCAGGAGTGGATATGCACTGGATACTCGAACCCAGGCACTCCAATAAGGGATGTGGACATGCCAAACAGTTGTTTGTTCTTGTTTTGTTTTAAGATTTATTTATTTACTTGAAAGAGTTACACACAGAGAGAAGGAGAGGGGTGGAGAGAGAGAGATCTTCCATCCGCTGGTTCACTCCTGTTGGCTGCAACAGCCGGAGCTCCGCCGACCTGAAGCTGGGAGCCAAGAGCTTCTTTCAGGTCTCCCACATGGGTGCAGGGGCCCAAGGACTTGGGCAATCTTTTCACTGTTTTCCTAGGCCATAGCAGAGAGCTGGATCGGAAATGGAATAGCCAAGACTTGAACCAGCACCCATATGGGATGCCAGCACTGCAGGTGGCAGCTTTACTTGCTACACCACAGCACTGGCCCCTAAAATAAAACTTCTATGAAGTAAATGTAATTAAAAATGAAAAGGTCTTCTACGGTCTTCTACCCCTGGTAACCACTATATATAAGTCACTGTGTGATATATACTATACACATACACACAAAACCCCCCCGCACACATTTTTGTATATGCCATTTTTTCAAGATAGATTTTTTAGTTTTTCTTTATAAAATTAGCATATTAAAAGTTATCTGGTGGAATTTTAATTTATTCAGCCAGTTCCCTTTGTGACCATCCTTATAACTCTGTACATCTTTGATTCTCTCTCTAGGATATATTCTAAGAAAGAGAATTGATTGGTCAGAGTATGCAGTTTTCAGGCTCTCATCACCCCCATTCTAGAGAACCTGAGGTCTGAAATGCTCTGAATTCCAGAATGCTCTGAGCCCTGATTTTGGAGCATTTCAGATTTGCAGATTAGAGATGCGCGACAGATAAGAGACTGCAAACATTTTAAAATCTAAAGAACCCAAAATCTGAAGCACTGTGGGCCCAGGCGTTTCACATAGGGGATATTCACCCTGTATTGCCAGCTTTGCCTCTAATGGTTGTGCCTCTGGCCTGTGTTCACCCGACTCCCAGTGTCTGTGTGGTGACTCCCCGCCTCTTGTCCTCACTGCGCTCCTCTCAGAACAAATCGACAGCAACATTTCTTCTTACCAACACCAGCAGTACAAGAGAGTATTGAAATTGCCTTGTACCTCTTTTTACTTTAAAGAAAGCTGGGTATTTTTTTTAAAAAGGATGTATGTATGTATGTATTTATTTGAAAGAGTGATGGGGTGGAGAGGGACAATGAGAGAGCTTCCATTCACTGATTCACTGCCCAAATACTGGCAAACAGCCAGGAGCCTGAAACTCCATTAAGGTCTCCCACATGAGTGGCAGGGACCCACATATTTGGGCCGTCTTCCACTGCCTTCCCGAGGACACTAATAGGAGGCTGGATCAGAAGCTGAGTAGCCAGGGCTCAACTGGCACCCGATTTAGCACTTTAGCTCACTGCACCGGAACGCCCATCCCGAAAGTTAAGCTGTTTATTGTCCATTATTAGCTCCTCAAACTTGTTGAGCTGTGTGTTTTCCCCAACTGTTAATGTTAGGGAATCTGTTTAGCTACTTGCCACCCCTAGATATAATAATATTGCTTTTAATATTGTGCCTTTTGTAACTTTTATTTTACCTTCTCCTAACCTTAAGAGTTAGCATTACTGACCGTGTTGTGATCTCACCACCCATCATGAACAGGTGATTTTGGGAGCTGGTCAGCTCTTTCAAGCTCAGCAAGAACTACTGCATCGAACAGCTCCCCTGCTCCTGTGTTATTACCTCATTAAGTGGAATAGTCAGTGCTTGGCAACTGATGTTCCAGTTGACACGCTGTGAGTTTCATTATTCTAATGATTGTTAAAGTAAATTTTTTCTGTTGTCTTAAAAATAATTTTTTAAACATAGTATTAAATCATTTGCTTATAAGATTTGGAGAGCTTTTAGATGCTATGTTTTCTAAAGGTTGAAGGCAACATGTAAGAATGAAAATAATAAATATGTATTATTACATATTAAACTTCAAAAAAGTTTAAAAGATACTTACTTTGGTGCAAAATATTTGAAATCCTTAATTCTTTTCATAAATCACATTTTCCATGAAGTTTTAGAAGGCCCTCATGTATGCATGGATTTCAAAATATTTTTCATTTCTTATATTTTGCTAGTTTTAAGATTTATTTTATTGAAAGAGCAACAGAGATCTTCCATCCACTGGTTCACCCCAAATGGCCTCAATAGCCAGGCCTGGGCCAGTTTGAAGCCAGGGGCCAGGAACTCCACCCTGGTCTCCCAGGGACTCAAATACTTGGGGCATTCAGGAAGCTCTATTGGCAGAATAGTCAGGACGCGAATCAGCACTCTCATGTGGGACGTGGCGTTGTAAGGGCAGCTTCACCTGCTGCTGCACAGTGCTGGCCTCCCAATTGGCATCTTAACTGCTGTGCCAGTGCCTGCCCTGGGTTCAGAATTTTTTACACCAAAATATATTTTGTTGTTGTTTTGTTTCCCATGGAATTTTTTTTTTTTTATGTATCCTCATATACCTACATATTCCTTTTGGGATATAAATGATATTATATGTGTTTGTAATATACAAATTATGTTGAAGCCAGAGGAAAACTTACACCACACACAAAAATGTCCAAGTTATTAAAGACAGGTGAGCTTCTTTATAACCAAAAGAAGAAAAAAAAATCCAAGAATTCCAAGATTCACATCTTCAGTAAGATAGACCATCCTCTTGGCTCTGTCTTGTCATCGTTGAAGGACAGCTGAAGGGTCTGAATGGACAACACTACGTTCTGGACATCTTTCAGTTGCCTTTGTGCTTGAAGTGGAGCTTTTACATGCGATTCATTTATGAAGTTGACAGTGTTCTTAGTTGGATAACTTGGACCTCATGTTTGCCGCAGGAGAATTCATACAGCTCTCTCCCCCTTTCTCACAGGGAATCGAATCTCCAACACTTGTCAGTGCTGGAACTGACTGACTCTGGTGCTTTAATGACGAATAAGTTTGGTAAGGAGCGGACTGTGTGCACATCTGATTCTAAATAGAGCGCTAAAGTGTTCTTGCCACCTGTGCTGTGGAAGGGTTGGCTGGGCTCTTTGGCTTCGCTTTCAGAGGCTTGCGCAAGCCTGGGTTTGAGGCCTGTGGTGGTGGGAGGGGCCTGTGAAGCTGCAGTTCCCGATCAGGCATACATGAAGGGGGCACTATACTGCCATGGGCTTGCCCACTGTGCTTTGATGCGCTTGTGATTCATTCAGCAAAATCTTTCAAAAGTTTGCCAAGTTCTTGGTAGCTTTTGTGATCTTGTCTTGGTCACCAAATATTTAAAAGGAGCCCTATCTTATGCTTGAAAACCATTATTGTAGAGAATTTATTTTGTATTCTTTTGCAATCTTGGGCCTTTTTTAAAAATCTTATTGTAGAGTATCTATTGTAGAGTTCCTCACGACATAGGTGTAGTGAGATCAGTTAAAAAAATGACTGCAATATTGATTTAAGTGCTTTTTTGTTGCATTTGCATAGTACTTGATTTACATCAGTACTGACTTTATTTGTGATAAATGTTCTTTGCTACAGGCATAAAATGAATTGGTAGGCCATTTTAAACAAAAGTTGATGCTATTATCACAAGTTTGTTATTGTCATAACCTTTTCTTTTTAAGTATCTAGCCCTCAAACAGTTGTGGAGTTATTCTTCCAAGAAGTTGCAAGAAAACACATTATCTCTCATCTCTTCTCTCAACCAAAGGCACCTCTGAGCCAAACTGGATTGAATTGGTCTCAAATGATTACTGCAATTACAAGTTATTTATTGCAGCTTTTGTATCCTTTTACTTAAAAGCCAATTGGAAAGTATCTTCTATCTAAATAATCTAAGACTTATTCTGTCTCTATAGTAAGGATTTTTTTTTTTTTCCGTTTTACTGAAAGGCAGAGCAACAGAAAGACATCTTCCTTCTGCCAGTTCACTTCCCAGGTGTCTGTAACAAATACCTCCCAGGATGCACATTAGGAAGCTGGATCGGAAGGGGAGGAGCCCAGGTGTGAACCAGGCACTCTGATATGGGATGCAGGCATCCCAAACAGGGACATAAGTGCTGCACACTTATGCACAGGGCATAAGTACCTGCCACCTGCCCCCATAATGATTTTTTTTTTTCCACAGGCAGAGTGGACAGTGAGAGAGAGAGACAGAGAGAAAGGTCTTCCTTTGCCGTTGGTTCACCCTCCAATGGCCGCCGCGGCCGGCGCACCGCGCTGATCCGATAGCAGGAGCCAGGTACTTCTCCTGGTCTCCCATTGGGGTGCAGGACCCAAGCACTTGGGCCATCCTCCACTGCACTCCCTGGCCACAGCAGAAAGCTGGCCTGGAAGAGGGGCAACTGGGACAGAATCCGGTGCCCCGACCGGGACTAGAACCCGGTGTGCCGGCGCCGGCACCGCTAGGCGGAGGATTAGCCTAGTGAGCCGCGGTGCCAGCCCCCATAAAGATTTTTAATGAGATTGAGTACTTCCTTAACAAGATAACATTTTCAAATTGATCACTGTTTTTTGTTTTGTTTTGTTTTGTTTTTTAAGATACGTTCACTTATTAGAAATGCAGAGTTAAACAAAGAAAGGGAGACAAAGGGATCCTCCATCCTCTCTAGTGTGCTTCCCAAATGGCCACAATGGCCCTGGCTAAGTCAAAAATTTAAATACATTTCACAACACAAATGACCTAAATATGAATATAAAAGGGCATAAATCATTAGCTGTTTTTGTAAAAGATTTATTTATTTGAGAAGTAGAGTTACAGAAAGGAGGGGGAGTCTTCCATCTGCCAGTTTACTCACCAAATGGCCGCAACAGCTGGAGCTGGGCCAATTTAAAGCCAGGAGCAAGGAGCTTCTTCTGGGTCTCCCACATGGGTACAGGGCCTAAGCACTTGGACCATCATCTTCTGCTTTCCCAGACCACAACAGAGAGCTGGATTGGAAAAGGAGCAGCTGGGACTTGAACCACCTACTGCTCCACACTTTTTGAACGACCTCTGTGTTACTTTTCACTGTATTTGTTTAATATTAAGGTGTTATAGTGATGGGAAGGGCTTGGTCACTTTTTTTTTAAAGCCATTTGATAAACTTCTGAATGTACGATTCAATGTGTGTATTTAAATTTTGCCAAAAAAGTAAGAAATCTCCTTAACAGTAACTAGATGGCCTAGCAATCCTGGTTGTCTCTTTCTAGAATGTTTGATGGGAAACTGTCAGTATATACAGTTGCAGGTGAGTTCTGTTGAACATGAGCAGTTTAATCACTTTGCTGGGCATTTTTTTCATTGTAATGTTAACTACATCTTAATTGGGTTGAAAATAAAATAATTTAAATTTTGCTGTACCAAGGCATACCCCAAAGAGATTTTCTCTATTTCTCGTTTTTCTGTTAGTTTCTCTTTATAGTAATAGAAACATACTATTATCTTCATAGAAATCCTTTTTGCAATCTAGTCAGTGAATTGGTTAAGTACCTAAAATTGGATAATTAGTAAGATGTTGAGTATGGGTATGATTTACTGAATCCTAAAAATATCCAATCCAGTGTAAGAATCTATTAACAATGAAATACATGAAATTCATTCACCTTAAAATTTTTTTAAGGTGTAGTTACAGAATTAGGTTTGTATCTCTCGATAATTTCAGGCAATAAAACTTTTGTGTTAATTGAAAACTATCTTCTCTCCTTCTTTGAGGAACTTGGAAATGAGTATCTCCTTAAGTAGTGTTTATTTTCTAACCAGATGGCACTTTCTATGCCTTTATAGGATTATATTCAACTGTTGCATCCCTGGTGTCAAGTCAACGTTGGTTCCTGTCGATTTATGCTGGGGCGGTGTTACCTCGTTACAGGAGAAGGACAGAAGGTAACTTAATTTGAATGATGAGTAAATATTATTCAAGGAGGCCCCTTGGTTTCCATTAATCTAGGTTGTGGGGAACGGGAGGCATGACTGTATTAGTTCAAATGAAGAGCATGATACAGGATGCACTTACGAGGTCTGTTCAGCTTCTTGTGCTTTGTGATTTAGTTAGATCACAGAAGAATGAGAGAAGACATTAAAACCATCCTGCCCCTGGCAGGTATTTTTAGGGATATGTTGTTTTGTTTGTTTGTTTTTGTTTCGTTTTTTATTTGAAAGTCGCAGTTACAGAGAAGCAGAAAGAGAGAGGTCTCCCATCCACTGGTCCACTCCCCAAATAGGCAGAGCTGAACTGATCTGAAGCCAGAAGCCTGAAGCTTTTTCCAGGTCTCCCACATGGGTGCAGGGGCCCATGGACTTGGGCCTTCCACTGCTTTCCCAGGCACATTAGCAGGGAGCTAGATCGGAATTGGAACACGTTGTTTCATTCGGTTACCTTTTTGTTTCAGAATTTTTTTTTTTTTTTTTTTTTTTTTAAGATTTATTTATTGTGGCACAGTAGGTTAAATCTGCCTGCGGCTCTGGCATCCCATGTGGGCACCAGTTCTAGTCATGGCTGCTCTTCTTCCGATTCAGCTCTCTGGTACGGCCTGGAAAAGCAGTAGAAGATGGCCCAAATGCTTAGGCCCCCACACCCTTGTGGAGACCAGGAAGAAGCTCTTGGCTTTGGATTGGCTCAGCTCTGGCCATTGTGACCATTGGCCATTTGAAGAGTGAAACAGCAGAAGGAAGATCTTTCTCTCTGTTTATCCCTCTCACTGTAACTCTACCTCTCAAATAAATAAATAGAATTTTAAAAGATGTATTGATTGATTTGAAAGGCAGAGTTACAGAGAGGCAGAGGCAGAGAGAGAGGTCTTCCATTCCCTCGTTCACTTCCCAAATGGCTGCAACAGCCAGAGCTCTGCTGATCCAAAGCCAGGAGCTGGGAGCTTTTTCCAGGTCTCCCACGTGGGTGCAGGGGTCCTAGCACTTGGGCCATCCTCCACTGCTTTGCCAGGCCATGGCAAAGAGCTGGATCAGAAGTGGAGCGGCCAGAATACCGGCACTGCAGGCAGTGGCTTTACCCACTGCACCACAGTGCTGGGCCCCTCATGATGCTTTTTTAAAGATTTATTTATTTGGAAAAGCAACAGAAGACATAAGAAAGTGATCTGCTGTGTGCAGATTCATTCCCCAAGTGGCCACAACAGCCAAATTGGGGCCAAGCCAAAGCCAGGATCCAGGAAGTCCATCCTGGTCTCCCATGTTGATGGCAGAGGCCCAATTACTTGGCCATCCTCCACTCCCTTCCCAAGCACATTACCAGGAAACTGGTTCAGAACACTCCAGTATGGGATGCCAGTGTCTCAAGCACAACTTAATCCTCTGTGACACAGCTCTGGCCCATCAAACATTGTTGCAGTAAACTGTCACCTAGCCCTCAAATTCTACACTTGTTAACATGTTACTACAATTGCTTCATTACATGCCTATCTATCCATCAGTCACCTTATTAGCTTACTTTTAATTCATGGTGATTAGATTAAAAGTGAGTTAAGGGGGCTGGCACTTGGGCGTGGCACCTTAAGGCCCCAGTTTGTGGTGCCAGCATCCCATGTGGCCGCCAGTTCGAGTCCAAGCTGCTCATTTTCTGATCCAGCTCCCTGCTATAGCCGGGAAAGCAGCAGAAGATGGCCCGAGTGCTTGAGCGTTGCACCTGTGGAAGACCCAGAAGAAGCTCCTGGCTTCTGGCTTCAGATCAGCACAGCTCCGGCCGTTGTGGCCATCTGGGAAGAGAACCAACGGATGAAAGACCTTTCTATCTGCCTCTGCCTCTCTGTAACTCTATCTTTCAAATAAATAAATCTTTAAAAAAGTGTGTTAAGCTTGAGGGTTATTAAATAGTACATCAGATGGAATTTATATATGGCAGAAATTGTGAAAGTAGTGGCTTTAAATAATTTTCTTTTTTAGCTTTCCTTAGCACAGTAACTCAGCACTTAGAATTGGAATGATCCGTTAGAAGTCACTCTGTTCTTTCATTTGTCCAGGCACTGGAATGTTTCTGTCAGGCAGCATCTGAAGTAGGCAAGGAGGAATTCCTGGATCGCCTGATCCGCTCGGAGGATGGGGAAATTGTGTCCACTCCCAGGCTGCAGTATTACGATAAGGTACCTTACGTCATGGTGTGGTCCTTCTTAACCCACCCTGTCAAAAATACATTTGAAATGTGCTGCTTTGCAATTTTTGGAGAAAAATGCTATAAAAATGTAATGGTTCCCTGAACTTCCAAGTAAAAGGAAAAATTGAAAAAACTTACTTTTAGTTAAACTTTGTTTTTGACTTAAATGAAATTACCATGATGACATCTTGTTATTAGAATTTTGTTGACTTATGCTTTATTAGTTTGCTGATACTTGAGGTCATTAGTGTTAATAGTGTGTTTAGTCTTAGTTTCTGATTTCAGCGTTTGGTACCACTCCTTGCTCTGATCCCTCAGCTGTAACACTAGTGGCCCTCCCACTGTCTCATGCAAGTACCTGCTGTTCTCTCACCTTGAACGGCTCTTCCGCAGGCCCTCATTTCACTCGATCTCTATCACCTGTGCCCTCTTCAGGGCGTCCTCCGGCCCGGCCCTCAGCAAACAGCCTTCCCACTGTGCTCTCTTGCGCACTTGCGCTGTCTCTCCCTTACATTCACACATGCAGCTCCAGGTTCTTTGGGCCCTGCTTTGTTTTTTCTTTATAACCTTCAACCAAACTTCATGTAATATGTTAAGTTGTTGCTTCTTGTCTAGATTTACCACCAAAGAGTAAATGCCACAATAGCAGCCGTCACTGTTTTTTGTATTACTTGTTAGATAAATGAATTTATAAACTTATTTGAAAGACAGAGTTACATAGAGAAATGAAGAGAGAGATCTTCCATCACTGGTTTACTCCCCACAACAGCTGGGGCTATGCCAGGCTAAAGCCAGGAGCCTGGAGCTTCTTCCAGGTCTCCCACGTGGGACATGGGTGCAGGGGTCCAACACTTGGGCCATCTTCTGCTGTTTTCCTAGCTCATCTGCAAGGAGTTGAATGGGAAGTGGAACAGCCAGGAGTCAAACTGGCACTCACATGAGATGCCTGCACTGCAGGTGGCAGCTTTACCTGCAACACCAAAATGCAGGCCCCAATTTATAGCTCTTAATAATACTCTAACATCCCACTAATTCTAAGTCAATATTTCTGCTAAGGTCAGACAGAGTTGAAGAATCTATAAATGCTATGAAATGGTGTTCAAATGTTTGTGTTTTTTCTTTGTGGAGCCTCTGTAGCTCTCATTAGAAGGAACTCACACAGCAAACATTAAGAACCACTGCTAGCCGGCGCCATGGCTCAATAGGCTAATCCTCCGCCTGCGGCACCAGCACACCGGGTTCTAGTCCCGGTCGGGGCGCCGGATTCTGTCCCGGTTGCCCCTCTTCCAGGCCAGCTCTCTGCTGTGGCCAGGGAGTGCAGTGGAGGATGGCCCAAGTGCTTGGGCCCTGCACCCCATGGGAGACCAGGAGAAGCACCTGGCTCCTGCCTTCGGATCAGTGCGGTGTGCTGGCCGCGGCAGCCATTGGAGGGTGAACCAACGGCAAAAGGAAGACCTTTCTCTCTGTCTCTCTCTCTCACTGTCCACTCTGCCTGTCAAGATAAAAAAAAAGTAAGAAAAAAAGAACTACTGCTGGACTCCAGAGTGGGAATTGGAAGGAAGATATTAGGCCTCATTTACCAAAGGAATAAATTAAGATGTAGTAAGCGTGACTCTGGTGCTTTTCACTTGGGCTGACCTGGTGGATGTTTGTCACTGGATCTGGA